GGTGAGATGCCGGCTCACGGGGTTCTTCCGCAGCCGCCCACGCGGGAGGCAGGGGAGGAGGAATAACATGACCCCAGTCAAGAGCCTGTTTAATGAAGCTCGGAGGATCAGCCCAGTTTTAGCCCATGTATCCTCCTCTCCCCTATTGCTTTCAGGGTTGCCGTCCTCCTGGCTATGAGGTTGGGTGGGATCTGCTGCAGAGCCTTGAGCTACTGAAGTGGCCGCTGATGAGAGTCCCGACTCCCTGGCAGGGTGCAGAAGGTTGCAAACGCCGGCTAACAGAAGCCCAAGGGAAGGACTTGGTCATTTCACTTTATAATATGAAATGTGTGTGTTTGTGTGATGTACCTCAGCAGTTTGTGGGCTGTCAGAAGGTTTGCCCTAAAGAGAAACTTGCTGTTCCTTTCAGAAAACATGCACCCATCCCATGGCTCAGCATCCCGTTTCATGGGTCGTGTCCTTGTGCGTGTCTTCTCTCAGAAGGGTGTCAATGACTTCAAGACCTCGAAGTTATGCCCAAACCCCCAAGCACGGCACCTCAGCTTTCCGTGTCTGGAGTGGCAGGATGCTGCAGCATATAAAAATAAGAAGGAAGCTTGGACTTTGGCAGGTTGAGGTCCTACACCACAGACCAGGCAAGACAGTAGACGACCTGCGGCTGGGGCAGCTCATTAGGTCATTTAGGGCAAACCAACAGCGTGCATCATTGCGACTCAGAGGAAGGGCCAGCCGGGAGGACCCTGGATACATTTGGGAGGAATTCAGGGTGATGCCCAGGCGGGGAGAACATTTTGTATCTACGCAAACAAAATTTTTGCTGGGCATCTCCATTTCTGCGTGTCTTTGTAGTCTCGCATACAGTTGCTCACAGGCTGTGCCTGCGGCTGGGCCCACCTGTGCCTGCGGCTGGGCCCACCTGTGCCAGCTGGTGGGAGAGGACAAGAAGTGGGACAAGGCTGGCAGCAGGCCTGGCTGTGTGCTAACCGTGACCCTCGGTAGCCTTGCCCAGCAAAAGCCCTGGCTATAACATGGCCTGGTGGCACCGCCTTGGCCCAGGCCCTTGAGAAGAATCTCTGAGCTACAGGACAGGCAGCAGCACAGCAGCATGCCCGGTATGGGTTACTCCCGTGAAACAAAAGCCGGAGCAAGGCTGCGCTTGCGGAAAGGAACACCCCCAGCCTCAGACTACGGGCTCGGACTGCGGCACCTTGTCAGTGAAAATCACAGCGGTAAGCAGTCCCAAAGGGGGCTCCAAGGACGGCACCGGCGCGGTGCGACACCTTCCACGTGCGCAGCACCGCATGTCACGAGCTCCGTCCCCACTGGCACGCGCTGGACCTGTCACAGCAGCATTTCTTGTTCCGACTCATTCATACTACGGCTGATGGGTGTGCCCTTACATAAACAAATAATAATAATAATTCAAGCATCTAATAACGTCTCCAGCCGTATTTGACAGATGAGAATACAAACCGCAGCAGTGCAAAAGAGAGGTGAAAAACGGTTTCCTTGATTAGGAAATTATTGCAGGATGAGAAGCAAAGAGCAGGCAGGAGGCAAAGGGCAGTTTTCCTGCAATGGGGTGAGCATGCTGATGAGAAATGGATCCGCTTTCTAATAAATCTGCTCGCCTGGCCACCATCCTGGCAAGGCGCTGTGCAGGTGCTGGGCTCCCCAAACCAAGGACGGGAAGGCGTTTTGATGCCTGTGTGCTCTGCTCTCCAGGCATAAATATTAATAGGGCTCCAGCCTCGGTGCCACTGCTGATGCAGCTGTTTCCACGCTCATGTGGAACAAATTCAGTAAATGCAAAAGAGCAAGGCGTGAAAGAAAATATTCACCCGCTCGTCTGAGTTATTCTTGAAATCTGGTTTTGGTCCTTGCTTTCCTAAGCAGGATTTTATTTTTTTTGTGTTCGGAGTGAACTGAGATGGGGCAAATTTGCGTGGTTTGA